CCTGCTGCCCCACTGGTTTAATGCCAGCAGGAGCATTAAACCACAGGAGAAAGTTACCCCGGGTCTGACTGTGCTCTACGGTGTCACCAAGAATAAATTTCCATCCTGTCCCCTTGATTTCTCACCGCAGACCCCCACAGGAGGGGGAACAGACCCTTTCCAGAACAGCCTGATTCTCCTAGCAGCACATGCTGGGCAACCTGAATCTGCCAGGGACAACAGAATGACAAACTGTAGAGAAATGTGACAAAGATGGCTGAGCAAGATTCATTACTGGCCAAGGAAATACGGGCACAGTCCTCAGGGTTGATGGATTCAGCCACTGCCTTGCTAGGGGCATGGGTGACCACCCTGGCTCAGCGGCTGAGGCTGGCTGTTTGTGTAACTGCCAAGGCACTGGTAATGGGGGGCATTGACTGATGAGCAGGGAATCTGCAGAGAAGAGAGCAAGAGAGATCGTTCTGTCTGATCTTGTTTTCCCATTTCTCTTCCAAGCAAGCTGCTCATTAAATTTTAATTTTCAGCTAGTTAAAATTCAAATTTCACATAATCTGTCTGCAGCATGCAAAATGCATTATGCCAATGAGGGGGGTTTTATGCAGAGATATTATGTGCATGCTCGGGGTTTGTAACCAAATCAACTTTAATCTAGGGTATTTAAATCAGCACAAACGTTTCAGTAGCTACAAAATGGATCTGCTCAGTTCCTTTCCAGTGGCAGGACAGGCTGCAAAAAGCATTGGGCTTGTTTTGCGAAGTCAGACCTCTTAGGATAGGATAAAATGATTTGCTGAGATCATGCTCCAGCAATGGGCTTCCAACCAAACCCCAGCTCCAGCTCCAACCAGGCTGCAGTTCCTGGCAGCATGGATTCTTGGAAGCGGGGGATTGCAGGGAACAGCAAGGCAGCTGCAGGGGACGCGTATAATAGAAACTGTGAGCGGAGGACTGAGCTTTTTTTCTGCTCTCTTGTTCCCCCAGGCTTCGGAGGCTGTCTGTTGGGAATAGCTGCCTTTTTTTGGTGGGGGAAGGGAGATTTTATACAGAGCCACAGCCGATTTTGTTTAAAGAACTACTACCCTGATAGCCTGAACGTGGGTCTGGCACAGAAGAGGCCCAGCTGCTCACTTCTTGAATCTGTAATCAGTTCCCGTTACTGCTGCCTCAGTTTCCCCCTTGTAGCATGAGAGTAATGACAGTTTTCTACACAAATTGCATTTATAAAGCACACGCTATTTTTAGGGTGATAAGAAGTGAACAGGGAAGCAGGTTGAATTTGTCCTGGATACCAATTATGCATTGAATTCACTGGCTTCAGAGCTTTTCAGGGGAACGAGCAACGTCTCCTTCAGCAGCGTGTTTGTAAAAACACGTCTTCATAATCAGCTGTTGTACGTATGTATGGACATGCAGGTACGTGCTTCTTCAGCTTCCTGACAGCTGACAACCTGTGAAGAACTAAGAAAGCTGGTGACATATTCACATCGTTTTTTGTGAGAGTAAGTTTGCACTGGTTTCCTTCAAAAGTTGCTGGTTTTAGGTCGGGAGTAGATGGGAGTGACCCCTTGTGCTAAAGATAGGGGCCCATCCCCACATTCTGTTTCTGAAGAGGTTAGAAATCAAGAATGTTTGAAAACCAAACATTATACTGAGCGAGAACTGAACAAATCCCAGATGTTCTTCATTCTTCCCAGCATTTAGAGCCCTAACCACCGTTAGATGCCAGCACCCGCATGGAGGAGGCCAACCAGCCGAGGCTCTCGCTTGGCTGGGAAATGAAATTGTGTTATCCTGAGACGCTCTCTGCTGGCAAGCCCTGGGAAAGCACGCGCTTTTGCTTGGCCTTGGGATAGCTGCAGCATTGCAGGCTGGTTTTTAATCTGCGGGAGGAATAAGGTTTTTGCATAAGGGATGCCAAGTGACTGCTTCTGAGACTTTGGAGACCCAGGGAACAGAAATCTTTGTGTGCCACATTGCCTGGGTTTCGCCACTGCCTCCTCAGTAAGGCTGTTGGCGTTTGCATGTTAAATCACCGCCCTGACCTGTTCCACCTTTCAGAGCTTGTCAGCGACACGATGTCGTCTTTGCATTTCCCGCAGGATGACCCTCACTGCCTGAACGTCATCGAGTTTGATCGCCTGTTGCGGGAATCCCAGAGAGAGGTGTTACGGCTGCAGAGACAGATCGCGCTGAAGAATTTCAAGGAGTGTCTACGTTCCTCTAAAATCAGTTCAGGCAGCGCTTTGCCAAGCGCTGCTGCACGCTTGGGACTGCCTGTACCAGCACTAAATACCTGCATCAAAGGTTCACCTCTACCCAAGGAGGCCCGCCTGGGAGACCCAGCGCTTGGAGGGGAGGCACACGGGGAGGTGAGACAAGTGGGTCAGCGAGCTAAAAGTTTTGCTGCTTAATTACTCAATTAATTACTGTTCTTAGGAAACTTCTTAAGAGGATGAGCACTGCGGTTTGCATCCACTGCAGACAGGTGCTGTGTTGGTTTCTAAACCGATTGATTCAGCACCAGGTCTGATCGGGTGAGGGGGAACATGGACGTTGCTGCCAGCCCGCTCCAGCATGGGGACACTGAGCTATGCCAGGGGCTCGGTCCTGCTCATCTTCCCCAGCACGGGTCTGCCGCACTGCATCTTCCAGCCTAGGATACCGGGCAACCCCTCTTTTTACCCTCCTGTGCTGAAAACACGTGTTTTCGGTGTTTGTGCAGGGTCGTCGGGCATTGGCTCCCAGTGGGGGAGCGATGGGCACCCACGGCCA